CCCCCGCTCCTTGTGTGCAGTGAGGATGCGAGTCCCCCCCGCCGCGCCCCTCAGCCGCGTAGCAAGAAGAAGGCCCCCGCCAGGAGGCGCCTGCAGGACAGCAGCAGCAGCAGCGATGGCGACGACGATGACCTCGATGACCTCGATGACGACATGGATCTCGATGAGGACGAAGTGGGTGGTGGCCGGTCCAAGCACAAGAGCAAGAAGAACGACAAGGACAAGAAGAAGCCGTCGGGGCGCCGGAAGAAGCGGCGGGATGGGGGCGATGACGAGGACTATGACGAACAGCTGGTCACAAAGGCACACAGACAGGCACACTGCCACACAGTGTGGCAGGCTGTTGATCGGATGTTAAGGCGGTCTTTGTGTTTGTTTGTTGGTGCCTTTGCGGGTCAGGACCATGAGGCGCGTAGGAAGAAGAAGAATCGCAACGCCCCCAAGCAGCAGCAGCAGCCGCGCAAAAAGGACTCTTTCGCAGGTCACATAAGACACACCACACCACAAGCCAACCCAATCCAAGCCAACACTGCTTTCCTTCTCCTCTCCTCAGATCCCCTGCTGGCCCTGCTGCAGCGGATGTGTCTGGCGGCCCACGAGCGCAGCGACTGGCGGCAGGGCACCGCCGACTCCGTCACGGCCATCCTCGCAGCCGTCACCACACACCACCTCGCCATCGCCCCTCCACTGCCCCCTCCCCCCGACAACCAGGACCAAGAGGCCATGGACATCGACCTGTCCGACGACCTGGTGCGTTCGATGGGCGCGGTGCGGATCGTCAAAGAGATGGCGGGTTTCTTGGTATGCATGCTGAGTGCGGAGAAGATGTCGTGGCGGGGCGAGGCGCTGGAGGTGGCGCAGCGGTGGCTGATGGCGTCCATGGGGGAAATCAGGGGCATCGAGATGGTGCCGCCTGACCTGGAGGCCGCCAGGGGGGGCGAGGGGGGAGAGGTGAGCACATGAAGAGGCGGGCAGACGAGGTGGCTGGACCTACCTTTTGTGTGTGGTTTGCGGGTGCGTTCAGGGTGTTGGTGCTGCCGTGAGTGCAGTGGATCTGCTGTGGCGGGAGCTGTGCAAGCGGGCCAAGGACGCCAATGCACTCAACCGGTACGCATGTGTCTGCGCGTAGAGAGAAGAAATAACACACACTCTTCCAACCACCATATTGTCTCGTGTCTCTTCCCCCTCCCTCATCCGGTCTGTCCACCCATCAGCCGTCGTGCGATCAGTTTAGCGTTAGACTTGTTGCAGGAGCACGCCGCCGACCCGCAGCTGCTCAAGCGGCTCATCGGCAAGAGCACCGACCCCTCGACAGGCGCCGTGTGGCAGGCCATCGACCTCCGCCGCGTCTTCCAGGACTGCGCGAGGGACGAGAGCAAGGACACCAAGAAGGAGGCGGCCGTCATCATGGAGAAGATGGGCCCCCTGCTGGTGCGGTCGCTGGGGTCCACTGCTGAGAAGCTGCTGCGCATGTTCGACCCGAGGGTGGTGGAGGACCTCATCATGGACGCCTCAATCAGCGTCCGCAAACAGGTGGGTGAGTTGAGTTGGGGGTGTGTGGTGGAAGCAAGGCGATGGATGGATGGATGTGTATCGCGTCTGTCTACAGGTGTTGTCGGCGGTGGATATAGTATACGGTCAGCACGGCACAGCACACACGGGGAGACACAACATGACAAAGACAGGTGCCCACCAATCCACCGTCCGTCTGTGTGTTCTCCCTTTGTCGCTTCAGAGGTGTGTCCGGGCTCTCCCGAGATCCGTCAGCTGTGGGCCAAGGTGGTCCTGCCATGCGTCGTAGATGTAAGCAACCAGCACAAACACACCACCCGCACATATCGTCCCACCATCTCTTCTCTCTCTGTCTCTCTCTGCTCTTGCTTTTGCTTTCTCGCAGCCTGAGGGCACTGTGGACGCCAAGGCGTTAGAGCTGGTGGAGCGCCGCATCGTCGACGAGCTCGCCGCCCTGCCCACCTACTTCGACCCCTCGTGCGACGTCGTCTACAAGGCCCGCAAGAAGAGCAGACTCAAAGACATCAACCTGCCTGAGGGCGATGGTGCTGGTGGTGGTAATGGTGGTGGCGACGGGGGAGATGGGGACGGCGATGTGGTGGCCCACCCGCGTCCGCAGGTGCTGGATCTGTTGGACTCGCTGGACGGTGAGGGTTTGGAGTACATGCAGCGGGGCGTGCGGAAGCTGCGGAAGGTCAAGGGTGTGATCCCGCTGACGTGGTACGCCACCCTGCACGGCATCATGAAGGCCTGCCTCAACGCCAGAGTGCCGGTGGAGGACTGGCCGCTGGGCGTCTGGTGCATCTACGAGGCAAGCTTACAGCCATACCATACACACACATCTCCCCAATACATACCCACACCAACCGTGTCCTGCCCGTGTGTGCGCTCAGGAGATGACCGGTCTGAAGAAGGACGGCCTACAAACCGAGTTGATAGTGCGGTCGTGGCACGCCGCCGCCCCGGCCAAGGACATCCTCACCCTCTCGCCCCCGCCCAGCCGCGAGCCCACACCCAGACGCAGCACGCGGGACCTCACGGTGGTGGAGCGCCGACACGCCATCGCCAGGCGGCTGCTGTCCGTCATGAACAACATCGCCGAGGCTATACGCGAGAAAGACGCCGAGGCAGTGGCCACGGACCTACAGGCGCGACTCAAGGTGGGCTGGGCGAGGCGAGCAGGGGGGAGGGGGGCGTGTGCGTGGATTCTCTCTCTCTCTCTCTCTCTGTGTGTGTGTGTGTGTGTGTGCAGGAGTTCACGGCGCCTCCGGAGGTGGTTCAGTCGATGCTGCATTGTCTGAACGGGCTGCTCAAGGGGCCCGCCAAGAAGGCGGGCACCAACGCATCCAAATGGACTGACGGACTGCTCAAAATCATCAAGGCAAGAATATTCTCAAGATGGGAGAAAGACGGAGAGGAAAGCCAGGTCAGTGTGTCTCTTTTTCTCGTGGGCCATCCATGGTGTAGGGTGCGCTGGACGCGTTGAAGTACATGCCCAAGGAGGAGGAGGGCAGCGAGGAGGCGCGGAAGAACGACGACAAGCGGCGTTTGCGCGCCAAGCTGATGCGCAACCAGTCCCTCCTGACGCGCTACCTCTTCACACTCGGCGAGCTCTCACTGCTCGAGGGCGTCACCATTCAAAAGACATACGTCGACACCATGCAGGTACCAGCCCAGCCAGCACACCAGATGATGGTGGTGGACTTAACTATGTGCTGCATTCTTGTGTGTGTGTGGGGGGGGGTGCGTACGGGATACAGGCGATTGTGATGCCGTCTGACGATGTGCATGGGCAGATGCAGTTCCACGAGGACGTGCGGGGCCACGCCTTGCTGGCGTTGGCCAAGGTCTGCCGCAAGCCCACCGACTACTCCAAGCAGAACATCGTCGACCTCATCGTATCATCGCTGCACAAGGACGAGGCACTCATCATCAGGAACAACGCCATAGTGGTCAGTCAGCAAAAGGAAAGGCAGCCAGCACATCTTTTGTGGTCTGTCTGCATCAATGGTTATCGGCTCTGTACATATCTGTGTGTGTGCGTGTCTCTTCGTCTGTGTGTGGTGTGGTGGGGTGTGGTCCACCGATGCTCTAACGTGCAGGCGATAGGGGAGGTCTACAGCAAGAACGCCACTTTGTGCGACCCCCGGATGAACGCCGTGACGCAGCAGCTGGCGGACCCCAACCCGTTCCTCCGGAAGCAGACGCTCCTCGTGCTCTACAAGAACGTCCAGGGGGGACACTTCAAACTCAGCTACTCTGTCACACTCTTCAGGTACCTCAGCAACTGGGCAGGGGATGGCTACCGGAGAGGATCTTGTCGTCTCGTGTGTGTGTGTGTGTTGTAAGGATGCTGTATGCCTTGGCTGACGAGCATCCGAAGGTGCGCGAGTTCGCCGAGACGTTCGTCATCAACCAAATCATCAAGGAGCAGCAGCAGGTAGGCAGGCACGATTTGGGTGTGTGTGGGCCATGTGTGCGTGTGCGTGTGCGTATCAGGGTGGGGTTGATTTGCGGATGGTGTTTGTGGAGGCGGTGGTGTTCTTCAACGGCTGGCGGAAGCACCCCAAGTTCGACCAGATCCGTAGGGCCAAGAGCAATGACGCGTTCATACTCAAACTACACCCACACAAAAGACAGGTAGGTCGGCGGGCGGGGCGGGGCGGGGCGGCAGCAACCAGTAGCAGCCAGGCCAGGCGTATGTAACGTAAGCTGCACGTCTGTGTGTGTTGGGCGCGGCGCATTGCAGACGATCCTGCAGTTCATCCTCAACAACGTCGAGAGCGTCACCAAGCTATACGAAATCGCACAGTTAGCGACCACACACCCACACACATCTTCTCTCCCTCTCCCTCTCCCTATCCCCAGGACGCTGGTCAACGAGTTGATAGCCATCTACGACGTGGGTGCGAGTCCCTTCGGCGGCCCCTCCCAGCAGCCGATGCCCCTCCCCCACTCGGCCGACGACCCCCAGGGCTGTGTCCTCACCGACGCCCTGCGCATCCTCTGCTGCAGAGAGCTGTACGTCCGATTCGGCAGCAAGTCGGACAGCAGTGGAGGGGGGCAGGACAAGAAGGACGACCAGGGGGGCAACGTGTCGCCGCCTGCGGAGCCTGCTGCGAACAAGAAGGGTGCTGGTGGTGGTGGTGGTGGGCGGGGGAAGAAGGCAGCTGGTGGCAAGGGTGCTGCTGGTGGCGGGGAGGGGGGCGGTAGCGGCAAGGTCAAGGGGATGGAGGTGCTGGAGAACGCACTCCTCTTCAACGTGTGGCTCAAGAACGAGGTGGGTCGGTGGGTGAATGAGAAGATATATGGGAGTGGGGAGGTCTTGGCCTGTGCTGGCTGAGATTGGCTGATGCGCGTGTGTGGATTTCTGCATCTGCTATGCGTAGGTGATACCCCAGCTGTCAAGTCTGAAGAAGCTGTGTGAGCGGTGCCACTCGCCCGTCCTCCGGGAGGTCCACTACTGCCTCGGACAGCTCCTCTCAGAACACAGGTCCACTCCACCGGCAGGCCCACAGACAGATGACACCCCCCCACAGCACAGTGCACATACTCCCTCCTTCTGTCACCGTTCCGTTCCATGACTTGACTCCAGGGATCATCTGCAGGACTGGTTGGCCGACGATAAGGAGCTCGCCCGTGAGCTGGATCACGACTTCAAGGCCGGCATGTTCGACCCACAAGTCGCCCTGTCACCAAACCCCCAGCAGCAGCAGCAGCAGCAAGACATCAACGGCGAAGACGCAGATGACGAGACGGCCGCTGCAGCAGCAGCCCCCCGCCCCCTCTCCGTCAAGCGCACCAGGCTCCCACTGTTCCTCGGCCAATTTCAACAGCCGGGTGGTGGTGGTGGTGGGGTGAGGCCCTCTGCCGTCCCCCAGGGTGGCCATGGAGATCCTGCGGGTGGTGGTGGTGGGCAGGGCTTCCGCATTAGTGGTGCAGCGCCTTTGTTCCGCTTCCGGAATAGCGTCATTGGGGGCCCTCGTTGGACACCGGCATTTGGGGATGTGGTGGCCGAGGCGGGTGGCCGAGGGCGGGGCAGGAGGATGTCTGAGGCGCCTGGCGGGAGACACAACGTCGTAAGCCGATGAAATGAATGAGTAAATCCACACATGCGCTCACTGCACACGCATGTGACGGAAATCGAGTGTGTGGGCGGTGTGGTGTGGTGTGATGTCTCTCAGGCTGACGCCGTCCCCCCCGCCCCCGCCACGGCCGGCATCGGTCTGCCCCGGGTGCCAGCGGAGCGGCCCAATGATGCGCCACCTGCTCCCGCCGTCCCTGCCGCTGTGGCAGCCAACAACAACAGCGCCCCTCCCCCCGCAGCTTCCACTCCCGGCGAGCGCCAGGTCATGAGTTCCCAGGAGCAGATGCCCCCGCCAGACATTCCCCCACAGATAGTGCAGTCGCGACAACAACCACAACCACAGCAGCAGGAGCGGCAACAAGACGACGACGAGGATGACCGTGAGGAGGGCCGTGAGAGGGAGAGGGATGGGGCAAGGCCGCCATCAATCCGGCCGAAGGAGAAGGCGCGTGCCAAAGGGGGTGTGACTCGGATTGAGCGCGCCTTGGCCAAGGCTCAGCAGGTGGAGAGCACCAAGAGGAAGCTCCGCGGCAACGAGCGGGAGGCAAGAGATGATGAGGAGGATGGTGACGGCGACGGGGAGGATGGTGGTGGGGAGCAGCCCAAGAGACGCATGCACAAGGGGGGTCGCCGGGAGGCAGCAGCCGAGGACGCTCATGAGGACGAGGAGGAGGGCCAGGAGGCCAGGGAGACCAAGCGGCGACGCAAGCCACCCAAGAAGCCAAAGAATCGGTCGGTGGGCCGGGGGACGGGAGGGGATAGGCGGCCATGACATAATGTGTCCGTCTCTCTCTCTCTTTGGTGTGCGTGTGTGTTGCGCATGGCATGCAGGATAGAATCTGGCGAGAATGAATGACGACAATGAATGACTGAGATCTTGGCTGTTGGTGGCAAGAGCGTGGCGGGGTAGCTCGGTGCAGCGAGCAGTTGCAGAAATCAACTCATGTGTTCTTACATGCAATTGCTCACGTCACGGCAGGTTCGTCACCAATCGCATCGTTTACACACGACACAAAATAGATAGACGCGCTCACGGACCGACAGACACCTATGGGCGTTGGTGTCCGTTCCGTGCACAGAGATAGCAACTTGAGCAAATGACATGTATCGCTCACACACGAGTCCGTTCGGACCGCCACGCGCCCACACCCACACATGTGGCCCGCCCATGCAGGCAAAAAGAGCCAGCCCCACACAGACAGACAGACAGACAACGCACACACGACACAGACAGACACACGTGACTAAAGCAGGCAGGCACACAGACACACATGAACAAAGTAAAGAGCCAGCCAGCAGCCCCACACACGCACACCCACACGCATACGCCATCCACCGCACACACACTCACAAACAGAGCGTATACACCTCATCTATATGTCATGGTTTGGTGGAGCTCTTGAGGTAGGCAGTCCACTGGATGGAGAACCACACAATCTTGACGGCCTGGGTGTGCTCGCAACCCTCGCACGCCCCACTGCACACACCAAACCAGACAAACAGAAACGCGCAGATGCGAGCACCGTGCAGTGGGTCTCACCGCCCGGCTCTTCGTCACTCACCTGTGTATGCGCCACCTGGCCTGTGGCTGTTGGAAGCAGAGCTTGACGCTCTCGCTCTGCAGCACCTTGGACGACACGCCGTGGAAATGCCGCAGCCAACACGACAGCTCCGCCACGTCCTTCTCGTCAAACGACGTGGGCAGCCCAGTGGCCTCGTCAGGCACCCACCTGCACACCATGGACCCACAATGCCAAACGCACAAGGCCATCTTGTCTTGGTGGCTGGCGGACTGCAGATGCCTCTCTCCCCTTTCTCCATCCCTGTTGGCCTAGTCGTGTACCCACCTGGATCTGTCAAACGGCACAATCACGGCGGCACATGCGTTCAGCTGAGAGCGGAACCTCTTGTGGTCCGGCTGACTGTAGAAATGGAAGGTCTCCGAGGGCAGTGTACCCTTCCTGGCGTGCGAGAGGAACACGTGCAGCACCTCCCGCGCCAGCGGCTCCAGCGTGGCCCGCCTGGCCTCCAATCGCTCCTTGATGCTCTGCTGCCGGTTCTTCTCGCGGGCGTCTTCAGTGATCTCGCGGAGCACCTCGTCGTTGGGCAGGAGGGGGTCTGCGATGAGTGAGGGCTCCGGTGAGAGGGAGTAGAAGCGGCACTCCCGCTTGACGTGCCTGTCGAGGGACGAGGGCACGTCCCATGTGCCTGAAGAAGACAAGACGCACAGAGACGAAAGATGTCCTGCCAACGGATTCATTGCATGTTGGTCTGTTGTGTGTGTGCGTGCGCACCGTACCTGATCTGAGGTAGTCGAGTCTGCAGAATCCCCGCCCGACATGGATCAGGCAGACACACACACAGGCAGCCAGACTCGTGTGCTCAGTCAGATGCTCATGCAGATCTGCATATGGGTGATTCCCTACATGTATTCGAAGTATCGGCCGTTTCTGTCGATGAAGAGAAAGCCCTCCTCGTCCTGTGGCAGAAGAAGCCTCCCCGTCAGGATGCCGTCGAAGAACGAGGGACTCCCCTGCTGCAGAGTGCCTTCTGTCGTGACGAAGCCTTTCAGACACATTCAACAGCAGACAGACACATAAATCCGGCTGGCTGGGATCCACTTGGCGGCGTCTGTTCTGGTGTGTGATCTGCTTACGCTTTCCACCGACATTCAGCTTGACAAGCCCTCCCCTGAACAATGGCGCCGGAACTCTTGCAACGTCAGTGGTCGGCGTCGGGCTTGGATTGCTGCATTCGCTCTCTCCTGCAGCTGATCTCATCCTACTGCAGCCGTCCACTCTTGGAGAGGCCCAAATGACTTCTTCAAAGCTCGCCGCAGCTAAGCTCGCAGGGCTGGGCGGGGGGTAAGGAAAAGAAACGACCAGCATGGAGCCGCTGCCGACTGTCCGCGTCTTCGAGAATATCCCGTCAACCGAGCAGAAGCAAGACCTTCCACTGGACCAGCCCAACAACGCGCAGGATGGCGCTCAGCCGGAGGGTGCGGCGCCTCCAGAGAGACTCGTCGTTGATCTGGAGGTGAGAAGGACACCGTTGGGGCGGCGACACGCTTGTTGAAAATTCGTTTGTGTGTTCGCAAGGATGACGAGGCAACGAGTGCCTGGGTCGCTGAGGGCACACAGCGCAATTGCGGTCGGCGTGTCCCCGGCCCGCCGATAGTGCTGGATGATTCTTCTGATCTCGAAGACGCTCCTCCGCCCCGGACAACTCGGCCGTCCAACCGCCCTCAGGTGGAGCCAAACCACACCACAGACAGTACTGTTGGCTGCCATCATGCATGGCATGCTGTGATGCTCCTGGTGCCACCAGCTCATCCGCACGGTGGACGGCCAGTACTTCCTCGCGTCGAACCTTATCCGCATCTCACCGCCCTCATCTGGTGGCACCCCTGCTGCTGCCGCTGCTGCTGATGCTCCTGCACCCGCAGCCGCCCTGTCACCTGCTTCTGCTTCCCCACAACCGGAGAGAGGAGACGGCAATCGCAAGCGCAAGGAGTCGCCGAGCGAGTCTGCTTCCTTGCCGCCATCGAAAGGTCTGCGGTCGATCAGCAACGTCAAGAGCCTTCTGCAGCAGATGGAGTGCCCCGTGTGCTGGGAGAACTTCAGCAGCGAGGGGAGTGGCAGTGCACGGGACGCGGCGGGCGAGTCGGCGCGGGAGCGGGTGGACGAGGGGATGAATCGCGACAGCGGTCTGCGGACATTTGGCGACAAGGTGGTGGACTTTTGTGTGCGGCGTTGGGTGCGGGATGATGGGGACGCGGAGCAGAGGCGACGGCGGGCGAGGCAGCTCGTGGCTGCTGTTTGCGGCCACATCTTCTGCAGGGTGAGGGAGGGGAGAGGGGGAGAGAGAAGAGGGCACACAAACAGACGACACGGGGAGGGAGAGAGCAATCCATTTCGTATGTGTGGCTTGGTGTGCGTGTGTGTGTCAGGGCTGCATCGAGCGTCAGATTCGCGTGAAGGGTCGGTGTCCCATATGTCGTGCTGCGCTGCAGCAGAGGGACATACACCCCCTCTACCTCTGAGTGACCCTCACACCCATCCCTGGCAAGAACTGCATTATCCAACCGACAGACAGACAGACAGACAGACAAGACAGTGAGAGGGGGATCACAGGTGTCACGCGTGTGTCGATTAGTCACGTGTCGTACAGTCACTGGCTTTGTCGCTGTCGTCGGGTGTTCGCGTCTGTCTCATCAGTTGAGTAATGAATGAGCTGTGCCGTCTTTTTCCCTCCGTTCATCGCTTTGCAGCTGATGACACCACCCAGTTGAGTTCTGCGAGACTTATCGCGGGTTACATCACAGTGTGAGAGGAGGTGAACGGAGGAATCGGTGAGTACACTTTCCGCGTGTGGCAGGATAGTAGTTGTGTAGGATGTGGAAAGTGACCGTATACCACCCACCGAAGAGTGAATTACGAAGTACATTCATATCACCTTATCAAGGTTCACCGTATCAGTCATATCGACACATGAAAACAACTCCCAGCGAGCTCACGCTCGTGCACGTTCACACGCACTCCATACATCACAGCAAACACGGACGCATCAGAGAGGTGTCTGCAGGTTCCAGTAGGAAAGCGTGAGGGGCGTGACACACCCATTCATCCACAGACCCTCAGGCAGGCAGGCAGGTAGGCAGGCAGACAGAAAAACGGACGCAGACGTTCACACCATGAGCATTAAAGCGTGGTTGATGAGATACAGACGGACATCCAGACGAGTCAGTCACAGACAGGGATGCACTCCACGGGCAATGAACACACGTCTGACACATTTCTATCTCTGTGATCCCCGGGGCGTGTCACGAGAGCGCACCAGGCGGCTGGCTGTCCAAACGTCTGTTTTGCAGCCCCACCACCGGCGGCACACCGACCACTCCCCTCACCTTTACAACACACATCCACTGCTCTCCCCTCCCACACACACACAGACACCTTCTCACACACGGGCATCGTGCAACACACTGCCTGTGTGGGTAGGCGTGCACAGCACCACCCACACACATGCCACGAAGAGCTACATGGTATGGTATGTCCCGCTGGTCGGCAAAACGCCGCTGTCTGCCAGTTGGTCTGGTCGGTCCCCAAAATTGACGCCCGTCCGTTCGTTATCAACACAGACAGCCACACGCCCACACGAGTCAGTCAGTCAGTCAGCTGCACATGAAGGACACGTTGGTCTGGTCGGTCAAAAAAGATCGGCACGACGAAAGAAACGAAAACCGCACCACCTAACACCACACCACACCGCACCACAGACATAACACAGGTAAGTATTGCGGTCATTGCGTCCCCCCGCCCGCCCCCCGTGTGTGCGTGAGGTCTGGTCTGTCTCACCGGTGTGTGGTGGCTCCGGTGTGAGGCGGTGAGTCTATGCGCCCCGCTGGACCTCGCCGAATAGGCCGCCGGTGGCGGGTTTGAAGTTGGGGTCCTTGAGCTTCTTCTCGCGCTTGGCCACCACGGCGTGGCCCATCGAGTGGTAGATGCTGTTGTACTTCAACGCCCGCTGCAGCCGGGCCTCAGACATCCTGGAGACACACACCGGAGAGACAGAGACACGGCATTCAACGTGAGCATGCCCCTCCCCTCTCCCACCCCAGTGCGTCCCATCCCATGTGTGGCCCAGCTCACCTCTCCAGGTGCCCGTCGCCTGTCATCAGACGCGCCGCAACCGAGTAGGCGCGTTTGCTGTGGCCGTCCAGCTTGCCAGACAGGCCCGACGCCTCCTTCTCGAGCTTCTCGTGCACCCTCTTCTGCTTCTCCGTCGTTTTCTCGCCACGGACGTTCTGAATGAAGTTGCCGACGTTGTGAGTCGTCCACAGGAGCATCGGAGCGACGAAGGCCATCTCGTCAAACAAACAGAGGGAGTGCTGTGCGAAGGACGCGAAGCGGACGCGAAATGGACGCAAAGAGGGGCGGTTGACTGCGAAATCCAAACAGAGGCGGCGTGAAGGCAGGGGGGAGAAAACGAAGGGAATGTCAGCGAAGGTTGCGAATGCGAGCTCGTAGGGTTTCCAGTGACCAGCGAAGGTCAGTGAGAATAGGGTTTCTGCACTGACCTGCCCTCGTTCCCGTTTGCGATTTCATCTTTAAGATTCTTGCGTCTGTTTGCATTTCACTTTCTCTCTTTGCGTCCTTTCCGCGTCCGCTTCGCGTCCTTCGCACAGCACTCCCTCTGTTTGTTTGACGAGATGGCCTTCGTCGCTCCGATGCTCCTGTGGACGACTCACAACGTCGGCAACTTCATTCAGAACGTCCGTGGCGAGAAGACGACGGAGAAGCAGAAGAGGGTACACGAGAAGCTCGAGAAGGAGGCGTCAGGCCTGTCTGGCAAGCTGGACGGCCACAGCAAACGCGCCTACTCGGTCGCGGCGCGGCTGGTGACAGGGGACGGGCACCTGGAGAGGTGAGCTGGGCCACACATGGGATGGGATGCACTGGGGCGGGAGAGGGAAGGGGCGTGCTCACGTGGAATGCCGTGTCTCTGTCTCTCTGATGTGTGTCTCCAGGATGTCTGAGGCCCGGCTGCAGCGGGCGTTGAAGTACAACAGCATCTACCACTCGATGGGACACGCCGTGGTGGCCAAGCGCGAGAAGAAGCTCAAGGACCCCAACTTCAAACCCGCCACCGGCGGCCTCTTCGGCGAGGTCCAGCGGGGCGCATAGACCCACCGCCTCACACCGGAGCCACCACACACCGGTGAGACAGACCAGACCTCACGCACACACGGGGGGCGGGCGGGGGGACGAAATGACCGCCATGCCCACCTGTGTTATGTCTGTGGTGCGGTGTGGTGTCAGGTGGTGCGGTTTTCGTTTCTTTCGTTTTGCCGATCGTTTTTGACCGACCAGACCAACGTGTCCTTCATGTGCAGCTGACTGACTGACTAACTGACTGACTCGTGTGGGCGTGTGGCTGTCTGTGTTGATAACGACGGACGGGCGTCAGCTTTGGGGACCGACCAGACTAGCTGGCAGAAAGCGGCGTTTTGCCGACCAGCGCAACATATCATACCATGCAGCTCTTCATGGCATGTGTGTGGGTGGTGCTGTGCACGCCCACCCACACAGGCAGTGTGCTGCACGATGCCCGTGTGTGTGGGGGGGAGGGGAGGGGGGGAGTGGATGTGTGGTGTAAATGTGAGGGACGTAGTCTGTGTGCCGCCGGTGGTGGGGCTGCAAAACAGACGTTTGGACAACCAGCCGCCTGGTTGCGCTCGTGGCACGCCCCGGGGACAGGGATGGATGGATGGATGGATGGACTGACCGGCTGACTCGTGTGGCTGCTAATTTGTAGAGTGCCTCCCTACTCAAGTGTGCTCGCTTCTGCCTGTGTATCGTCTTAACGCTCCTGGCTTGTGTGCTGTGTATATACATGGCTTGGTTCCCACTGAGCGTGAGCTCGCTGTGCTGATGTAATGACCACGTGTGTGGCAGTCTGTCACGGGTGAGATGCGTCTCTCTGACTGTCTCCTTCTCTGGTCCACGTCAGAGATGGAGCGGGTTGGTTGTGCAGTCTCACCTCAGGCGGTGCCTCACTCTGGTTGTCTGTCTGACTGACTCGTTTGCCTAATGGCATACTGCTTGCTGTCGTGTGATGTCCGTGACGCCTCTCCATACTCGGTGAAAAGCTGATTTGGGTGTTAATTGGGGTGTTGTGAGCTTTTTAGTTGCTCGGCGCGTAAAGGGATGGATTGCCTCTAAGCTGCCGGGAGAAGTGTTAAAACTACTTTGTTTGACGGAGTGTACCACGCAAAGTGGTAATACTTCCGTTCATCTGGCTGGAGCACAGCGCCTTCCACATACCGGAATCGATAACACACCTCCTCCCAGCCGGCGAGGCCTGAAATCCAGCGACGTCAAGGCGATGGTCTCACTGGCAGAACCATCGTCGTCTTCCTTCCCGTTCGTTTTGGCTGGTCACCATGGCTTTCATCCATCCTATGGCGCTCACTTGGTGAGAACATCGACATCCATCACGCGCGCGTGGAAAGGATGGACCTCACTTGGCATCGTCCGCCCGCCCCTGTCGGCTGTGTGGTGTTTGTGTGTCACAGGGGTCAGTCAGCGGTGGGTGCCATCGCCAACTTCCGCAACAAAGACTCCAATTCGCCCAAGGCGCTCACCGAGAACCAGGAGAAACTGAGAGCAGTCCAGCACGAACGTGGCGTGAGTCCCCCAACACAACAGGGTTGCGGGGTGCTCTTCTCATGGGGCCGTTGTTTGTGGTGTCCGTTTCCTGTCTTTCAGGTCGGCAAGAAGGGTGAGAGCTGCCTGTGGGCCTGGCAAGCGTCTGGACGGGCACTTGGAGATCTGTCTGTCTCCCTCACCTTGAACATCTCTGTGTGCTGTTGTGTTGTGTGTGATGTGTACTGACTGTATGTGTGCAGGTGGTTTCGACTCCCACAACCGTCGCTCGTACGGCCTGGCTGAGCGCCAAATCGTTGCGGGACAGCTCGACAAGTGAGGGACGGAGGGAGGGAGGGAGAGAAATAAGGAGGGAGACAGCCACGCACACGCCTTCGCCTCACCTTTATTGAGGGAATGAAACACTGCCTGCAGGGTTTCCCCGAAGACGATGGACAGATTGATGCGTTTCAACAGTGCGTTCCAGAGCTACGGCAACTCGGTTGTCGACACCCTCGAGGCCAAGGGCCAGGGCCGCAGCAAGGAGCAGAGCAACTACACCCGCCGCGGCTCCACCGCCAGCGTCTCATCCGACGCTTCCTCCACGGCACTCAAACGCGGGGGCACCCTCGACGTAAGTCGGAAAATAAAGAGACACCACACACACACACAGCAGAGAGGCAGGGATGTGAATTGATGGATGGATGGCATGTGTGTGCGTGTGTGCGTGTGTGTGTGGGTATGTGGGTGGGTGTGCGCAGGAGTCGCAGGGCATCGGCCTCTAGACGACACACGACAACCAGCCGGACGGACGGACGGACGGAAGGGAAGAGAAACTGCATGGCTGTGGATGATGTGATGTAGTATATATCTCGACACATACATACGCCACGAAGTGCCGTGTGCTGTGTATGCCTGTATGCCACACACATAGACAGACAGACAGACAGACACATTGCTGCCACTTGTGATGGGTGTGATGGGATGGGAGGGAGGGATGGAGGGAGGGAGGGAGGGAGGGGCGCAGTGGGTGGGAGAGTTTTATGAGCCGGACGGACGGAACGTACCGAACGGAAGACCACACAATTTTGCGAGGCGTGCAGTAGAACGTTGCGATGGTGGATGGACACGATGCGAGAACGTGAGAGGCAGTAAATATGGTGGTCACATCCGTCGATGCATTCATCCTTCCAGCCATTGTGTCCACGCGTCGATCGGTCTGACCCACTCACCAACAAATCAAACCAGACCCTAGAATTGCCACCGTCTGAAGCCGCTCTACTGACACATGGTGGATGGATGGATAGATGCCGTCAGTCACTTGTGCCCCTGATGCACACGGGCCCTCTTCTAAGGAGTCAAGTGGACGACAACACACATGCCAAGAGAGGGAGGGATGTGGATAGGTCGTGTGAGAGTGTGTGTGAGTGTGTGTGTGTGTGATGGTTCACCCTTACCGTCGGTGGGACGGTACGCGAGCGACCTCTATCTGAGAAGACCACACACGAGAGCACCACCGTCAAGGTGACACACGTACTCACTGGCATCTGTCTGGCTGTATACTGTACCTGCACTGTGCGCCGCGGGAAGGCGCTCGTCCGCGTCAATCATGGCCCACTGCTGCTGCCGGTGAGATTGCCTGCATGAGCCAACATGCACCAAACCACACACCATCCACGCCTTGCTCGACACACGATGCCAAATATGTCTTTCGCCTCACAGGTAGGCAGCATAGGTCCGCTTCGGAGGCTCCTCAACCTTGACAGACAGACACATCACACGCAGATAGATAAGCACGTCATACGCCTTCCTACTCTTTGCTCAATCAGCTACCTCTGTGGCCGTGAGGAATCGCCGTGGTGGCAGTGGTGGGGCAAAGTCAGGGAAGGAGCACTTCCTGACCTCCTCCAGCCGCTTCCTGTGGTCCTCCCGCGCCGACCTCCCCGGTGGCGGGAAGCCCGTGCGGTTCATGATGTCGGTCTCGATGTCGTCCTGCTGCTGCTCGAGGGCCGCCGTGGCCTCAGCTGGGTGGAAGTCGGGTGCGTATGACGGGGGGATAAGGGTGGGGCCCGGCCGCTCCAGCAGGGACGGCACCTCTGCACACACACACACACACACACAGGAAGGCGTGTGTCAGCTGCCAGGTGTTCTATCGTTGTTTGTTGTTCCCTCACTGATCACCGTGTGGGAAGGCGATGGAGTCGTCGACTTTGGCAGGGTCGAAGTCGGCGTCCTTCCACTTGGCCTCCACCCGCAGCGCATCGACGGCATCCAGCATGTTGGCATCCGTGCGGCCATTCAACTCGCACAGGCCCTCCGCAACCCTCCCCAACCGCTCCAGATCTGCAGCCACCCAGCCGATCGCACACAACATCCTGGCGACTGATGAATACCTCGGTCATTTGCTGCTCACATTTTGCCGTGTGGTCAGCGAGTATGTGTATGACGTCCTCCTCGGCATCGGTGAATCCCTGGTGCCGAAGGGCGTGACACACCACACGCTCAAACTGACACAGCAGACAGACAGACAACACATGCAGGGCACACACGCAGGCAGCCACGTGATGGTACACCCTGCCCTCCTGTGTGCCTGCCTCAGTTAGTGCTCACCAGTTCTCGTGCATAGGCTTCTGTCATCTTGTGCGGGTTCGTCGGCACAGATCTGTGCTTTGCGGAGTGTGGCTGATCCCTCCCAATGTGGTGAACAATCCTGATCCTTTCGCTCCCTTCTGCTCCCTTCTCGTGACTGCGAGCTTAGCTGCGAGCTTAGACATTCTTTGGCAGATCTCTGCCCTTCCAGGCTGTCGTGACCGCGTACCTACCGTCTGTTCTCATTTGCGGTGTGCGATTAATTCATTCTGTGTGTTAGAGAGGAGCGGCGATGCAGCTGTCTGTGGTGTGGGTGGCCAGATGATGGATCCGTTATGAGTGAGGCATCTGGCAGCAGCCACGACGCTGCACTCGGGGCCACATTCACATTCGCAGGCTGCTCTGACGAGCCGCCCACATACCACGACGCAACAGGCGGCAAGTAAGCCAAACACACAGTGGGGCAAGGGAAGCCATGCATCGAGCCGCCGCAATTCATCAACGTGTGTGTTGGCTTCTGCAGGCGTGGTTTGGTTGCCGGTCGTGCGGAGTCAGCGCACCGCTTCTTTGCCCACCTTGCGTACGATGAGGCGAAGGAGCAGCAGAGGAGGGACGGGCCGGCCGAGGGCACTGGCACCAAGGCGGCAGAGCGGTCCATCACCGATGCGTGGTTCCATGCCAGCCGCCTGCAGCAGTACACACACTCACGCGCACGTTCACAGACAGACAGAAGACAGACAGAGAAGAATGATGTGAGCTGATCTTGTCGGCTGTGGTTGTATTGTGTTGTGTGTGATGCAGGCGTGCGGGCGAGACGCTCTGGGACCTTCGCTATCACCTCCTGGGCAGCGTCATGGGACCGAAAGTGTACGCAACGCACAGGCACACCTGGCCTGCACAGAAGGCCGATCCGATACACGAGTGTGTGGTGTGGGTCATCTCCCCTCTCTTCTCCGGACGGACCGGTGTGTCGTGTGGTCTCCCCTCTTCGTTTCGTTCATCAGGTTCCGCAATGCCGTGGTCAACGAGTCTGTGTACCGCCCGAACCAGTCCCGCAGGCTGGGGGTGTCCAAGGCCACCACTTTGCAGCGGGACCTGGCACCGAAGGCTGAGGAAACGGCTCTCACCACACAAGCACGCAAAGAGGTGAGAGAGGCCATATGTCGAAAAGGAGAGAGAGGGGCGACAATGTTTGTCCACGTGTACTGACTATGTTATGTGTGCGGGGCGTGGCGTGGCGTGGCGTGGTGTGCCGTCGGCAGGCGCTGGAGGGCACTGTAGAGCGGCTGAGGAGCGCGAGAAGCAGCCTCATGCAAGACCTCAGGAGCCACGAACAAGTAGGTACTGCATCAATGGCGATGGCACGCACGGCACATCACAGCACGATCCGCCCTCTGCACACCCACTCACTACTCTGCTCCTCTGCGATCTGTCTGTCCGTCTGTGTGTGAGTTAGCTGCATCAAGTCCTGACCCAGCTGCGGCCCCACTGGAAGATCAACAAACAGACGACAACAACAACCGGCTCCCCAGATCGCCTCCCCGCAGCTGCCGCCAAGGCGCAGGTGGAAGTGGACATCTTCGAGGCGCCACGGATGGGGTGGGGTCTCCCCCAGCCAGCGCCGCCATCAAGGCACCCCACACTGAGGCAATCGTCACCCTTCGGACCATACAGGGCACAGATCGCCGTGAAGAGCGTACGCACACCGGGGTCAAGAGAACAGAGAGCGCCTTCGGTGTCTGTCTGTCGACGGAGGGTGCATGTGGCGTGTGCGTGTCTTTGTCTGTGTGTGATCAGGGTGCGGAGGAGGGCGAGGTCGAGAGCGGTGGTGCGTCGCCGTCAGCTGACATTCCCCTGACGATTATCTTTGATGAGTACGACGCCTTTCGCATTGAGGAGCGGTACGAGCTGCGGGTGGCCATCAGACCGCTGCTGGGGGCCGACAGCAACAATGCTTCACCTCTGCCACATCGAGAGGAGGCCACGGCAGCTGACGTTGAAGGCACAGGTGAGAGGAGAATGCCGCGGGGAGGCAGGCACCTTTGAATGGTCGGCTGTCTGTGATGTGTACCAGTGCCTCCCTCGGTCACTCTGCCGCTAGCGCAGTCCCTCCACCGTGTCCTGGCCTACGCCCAGCATCGCTTCCTGGACCGATGTCTATTCCACGTCGTACACGGGCAGGTCATACCAACACGCCAGGCCAGCAGTGTCAAGAACATACCATATTACCATACATTGTCGCGACGAATCGAGTCCATCTTTGCTTTCGTGGTGGTGTGGTGTGTGTTGTGCAGGCAGCCGCCCTCCAATCGACGGGCAGCCTTTCGTCAGCCGCTGTGCCCGCCTCCCGCCCTCCCTCCCCGTCCCTCGCTCCCTATGACGGCCTCCCAGGCAGGCCGGGGCCGGCGGACGGAGCGCCCGTGGTGACGCGACTCGATGACCGGCACGTTTCTCTCGTCCTGCAGGGGGCGTCAGCGCCTCTTGTGCTGAGGATCATGTACGGTCAGTGAGTGCACCAGAACCAGGAGACGGAGAGCTTGGAGGGCGCTGCACTCGTGTGTTGTGGGATGGATGTTGCTTGGGGTCGTGTTCGTGTCGGTCGGTATAGGTCCAGTTGGCGAGAATGAAAATCAACAAGTGGGCCACAAGAGACAACGGAACGACTGTAGTGGTGGTGGTGGTGGTGGTTCGCCTGACCAATCCCCGTCAGAAGACGCAGCACTGGTCAGTTAGTCAGTCAGCCAGCCACCCTGGAACCAACACTCTCGCGACACTACTTCGTCCCTTCCTTGTTGGTTGGTTCATTCAGGCGACTCTCCGCCACCTATTCGTCCGTGCGTGGCGTGAGCTGCTGGTTGACCGCCCCAACAGGTGTCTGGACCACGGTATGCATGGCACCTTCGGCATCGAGCGAAGATCGGCATCCGGTCAGGGCCTTCCCCCACCCGAACCCAACAAGTGGGCCGCCCCCGTGTACCCGCCTCCCCCTGCTGCAGCGGCTGCGGCCGCGGCCGCTGGTGGTGATGACAATGGGCGAGCGTCGTGTGTGGAGCCCGAGAGGTTGCTGGAGACCTTCCTGCGGTGGGTGCAGACCAATGGTGGGGAGGAATGACTGCTTGTGAGGTGAGATGGAGTGGGTGAGCTTTATTTGTTGCTATCGGGGTCGCTGGCTGGCTGGCTGGCTGGATGGATGGATAGGGCATTTAGTGCGTGCTCGTTTCAGTGTGTACGACGGACGGTTGGGGGGGATCGTTTGTGGGACATTTGAGACCCATTCACTCAGTCACTCGCGTCACTCACGTCTCACACACGGATGAATGGATGGATGAATGGATAGATGGATGACAGACATCACACTATCACACCACACCACACCAACCCACACAGGCAGACGTGCAGCCAGGATGCCGCGAGCGAGCGAGAGGCGAGGCGAGAGGAAGGCCCAAACGACACAAAAATAATACAACACAAAACATGAATCATGAACCACCGGGCCGCCATGCATGCAGCGCAACGCCGAGCACTCTTCTCTGTACGTCCCACACATGTGTGTATGTGTGTGTATCGCTATACACGCCCCGCCTCGCCCCGCCCCTCCTCGACTCAACCAACAGAACCACCATGATAACAGAGAGAGAGAGAGGGAGAGAGGCAGAGGGGAAGGTAGGTACGAGTCGGTCGGCCTAGTTGCTGAATGAGTGAGTCGATGGATGGATGGAAGAACGGGTGCGATGCATGCAGCCGACCGGCACACACTTTGTTGTCTATTGTACAAAGCACACCGACCACACCGACCTACAGGGTCTGAATTGGAATCCAAAACACACACATGGATGGCATGGCATGGCATGGCGGGGAGGGGAGGGAAGAAGGAACAAAGAAGGGAAGAAAGCAAGAGCCCCTGAGCCTCATGTGGCCTCTCTATCTATCTATCCATCCATCTGACCGACCGTGGCGCACCAGCGGACCGGCCCTTTCTTTACACAAACAGGCTTGATCAATCAACATCTCCCACCCCACCACACACAACATCAATCACACCACACCCACATGAATTTGCACCCCCGGACCGGCCTGGACCACACACGCCGTCAGGGGCAGACAGGGAGAGTGAGTGCCACGGAAAAATACAGTTAGTACAAACAAGTATCCGCCCTCCCTCACCCTCTCCCTCCCTCCCCCCCAGCTGTGAGCCAGCCACGCAGAAAAATGCGAGACGGTAAGAACCGACACAACAGAGCAATCGCTCACTCAGACGCTCATCAGTCAGCCCTTCTGCTCGACGCCTTCCCGCCCGGGTGCTGCACCCAGCAGCTGGCGCAGCGGGTCACCACACGAGGAGGGGCCCTCGATGGACAATCCACACACAGGCTGGTCCGAGTAGCCCCGCGACGGCTCCAGCTGGGCCTCGATGCTCCTGTCCAGCTCTCCATTTTTCTCCGTCGCAGCCTCGCCCGCTTCATCGCCAGATGACAGAGACAGAGAGGGCGGCGGCATCGAGTGCCGGCCGGTGGAGGGCTGCACGATCGACTGCTCGCTGACGGCGCTGCCGGAGCGGTCCATCAGCAGCGACCCGGGTTCGCTCACCGGCGGCACCGACGGCAGCATGGTATCAGGGGGGTCAAGGGGCGACCGGGGAGAGGACGGCAGGTTGGTGGCTGAGCAGAACCGGCCCAGCGGGGGGTGGCCGTTGGATGTGGAGCGGCCTCTCCGGTCGGGGTATGCGCGGCGGTCGACGGCGCTGCCGTCTGCGGGGCTTGCCTCGGCGCTGGGGAACTCAGGGATTCCCCGCGACGGCTCGGCGGCCGTGAAAGGATGAACAGTGTGGTGCGATTTCCATACAGCCAAATTCCTCTGAAGAACAGAGAGAGACCAAGGAACAGGTGCAGGCCTGCCTCGCGTCATCTCGTGTGCTGTGCATGGCTACGTTACGTACCAGGTGGTGGTGCGATGGATCGAAGACAGCCGTTTCACACTGAGGGGGCGGCCTGGGTGTGAGGGAAAATGGGGACGTCGGAAGCTGGTACTGCAGACACGGCGAACGGGGGAAGCTTGACATCCCAGGGTGCATCCGCGACTGCCGCACAAAGGGGTGCAAGCTCACACCCCCGGCAGCACCAGCGGCAGCTCCCTTGCCCCTCGCAGCAGCACTGGCCGCATCGTGGCTCGACATGGGCAGGGCGAACGGACCGTCCCCCTCCTGGACGCGCCAGTCGGGGAGCAGCTCACCGAGGTTGAGAGAGTGGACCTCCTCGAAGTGCCGGGTGTGTGTGTTGGCCATGAAGGCGATGTCGCCGTCGCCCACGGCCGATGTGGGCTGGCACCGGAGGGTGTAGACGTCGTTGGATGTGTGGACGGCGGCATAGATGGAGGTCCACATGGGTTCCCGGCCCGCGATGTGCCGACTCCGAGAGATGAGCAGGAGCGATGGGGCCGACACGGAACGTCTGAACAGGGAGGGATAAACAAACGCACACAGGCCGGTGGGCGCTGTGGTTCGTATGCTTGTCACAGGTAGGTAGCGTACCTGATGAATCCACCGGCCTCCTCTGCCCGGCCAGCTGCCTCTGCCCCTGCCTCCCCCTCTCCCTGCTCCTCTTGACCTTCTTCTCCCATCTCTGCCTCGCCCTCCCGCTCGCCTTCCTCCTCCAGTATCTCGATCTCCAAACCCCGGTGACCCCTGTCTGTCGGCCCGCGGTAATGGCCGCCGCCCATGCGCACGGAAGACACGACGCCCTCCTTGCTCGTTTGTTGGGATGGGAGGGGTGACGGTGCGGGTGAGGGCCACGCTGACCCCATCACCGACCGCATCGTGGACGAGGGGGTGTCGCGGGTGGCGGAGGAGGGATGACCGGTGGACGACGCCAGATCGTCCTCTGATGCAGACACAGGTGGGCAGCGAGCAGTGTAGGCCTGGGTGTGCTCTCTCGTGTGTCCCCTTCCTTCTTGGCCACACTTACCAGAGACTTTGGCCTTGATGTGTCTACTGGACTTGCTGCCGCTGGGGACGAGGGTGTTAACGTGCTGCTGGGCAGGCCCGCCGAGCGACGTGCAGACGCTCTGACTGTGTCGCACTGTCTTCTGTTCCGCCCTGTGCTCCCGTCTCTTGTCCTCGGGCTGCGACTCCTCAAAGATGGTCTGCAGAGCCTGAATGAGGTTGTCGAGGCCGAAGAGGTACTCCTCGTCGGGGCTGGGGTTCTCCAGCAGCGTCGTCGTGTTGGCGAAGTCTATCATCTTGACGTCCAGCGACTGACACACGGCAGGGAGGGAGGGAGGGAGGGAGAGTGCGTGAGCATGCCGCCCCGTCGACGCGTTTTGTTTCGTTTTTCGTCTCGTCTTGCCCACCTTGACCTTTTTCTCCTGGTTGCTCTCGCCCCCGTCGTAAACAATCAGCAGCGAAGAAGACCAAAACCGCCAGTGCTTCAAGCCACGGATGCCTGATGGGATGGACACACACACACAGGGCGGGGATGCGGTGCTCGTCGTGTGCGTCTGTGCGTGTGGTACACACAGTTTCTGAGTGCGGTGAGTTTGCCGATGAGGGGCTGCACGAGCTCCAGCTGGAAGCGCCAACCGTTCCAGAAGAAACACTTCAACGCACTCTGGATCTTCCCTGCACACGCACAGACACAGACACAGACACAGACACACACACGCACGCACACACACTCGCGCGTGTGATGGAGAGAAGATCGGTGTCAACCCACCGCCACCCACCGACCTGACGTGAGTTGTCGGCCCCAGTACTTGTCACGGTAATGCATGTAGTCATTCTTCTCGTCATAAAACTGACAGCAGCAGCAACGCACACGCGCGTATGACATCTCAGCTCCCTCTCTCCCTCCCTCCCTCCCCCCCTCGGTCACTCCCTCACTCACCCGGAATCCACAGAAGCGGAATCCCAGCGAGTGGCTTGTTGTCTTCATGGCCTTCTCCAGCTGTCGCCTCTCCTTCCGCGGGGAGGCGTCCCGCTTCCTCTGCCGCTTGCCCATCTTGATGTCCAAGATGCACGCCTTCTTAAAGTCGTGAACCAAGTCCTGCAGGATCAGATATGTCACGCCACGACGCCGCGGCACGGCATGAGCGGGGGGAGGGGTGGGGGTGGGGGATGGGATGGGGGTAGCGCGGCCAGAGGCGGTGTCGGCGGTCTCGCTGGGAGGGCTGCAGATGGACGGCGGAGGGGTGGGGGGCTCCCGCAGTCCGCTCTGGTAGGTGCCCTCTCCTCGGCTGTCCGTGTCGACCTCTAGCTCGATCTCCACTGTGCCATGGTACTTGGGGACGAAGCGGCGGAGTATCTCCAAGGGCACAAACTCCGTCGACGACGCACCGAGGGAGCGAAGACGCTCGTAAAACTGCACACACCACACAGTGACAACAAGAGGCGTCAATCAGTCACTGCCAGTGGAGTGTGGCAACCACGCAAACTGCGAAGGTGCCTGAGTGTGTGTGTGTGTGGGCCGCGTCCTGTACCCGGTGTTCATTCTCATTCCATGGCTTGTAGAGCTTGGAGGAGTCCTGGAGTTTGACCAATCTACAGTGGCCGCCCACTTGGTTCTGGTAACGCTGCAGCATCTTGATTCACGCCTGACGCTGGCAGTGCCGAAGCGAACCAGGCTGCCGCTGCCGCCACGCGGCTGTCATCGAGGCTTTCATGCAGCTATCATCGCGGGTCTCGCCATCACCTCCAGTTAGCCACCCGCATCTCCATCCACAAACACTTTGGCCGAACGAGCTCACGGATCCAGCACACTGTGTGTGTGTGCGTGTAGAACGCTTTGCTCCTCTTCCCTGCCTTCAGCGCAAGCTCAAAGCTCGCAGAGGCGAAGCGGGAGCCTCTGAATGCTGAGCGCAGAATGTATTCCGAGATGTATACAGTCAGGGCAGATAGTTGCGGAGGTGTGTCCGAGAACGGTCTGGTGTGCCTGCCGGGCCTGAAGGGCCTCACGAGAGAGGCGAGGCTGGAGGCATTGAGGGCCATCACCACCGGCCCTTTCTTGCCCAAAGTTGACGCCGATGGCTACATCCGCTCCGACTTCTGGGTCGACCTCAGCCCTGACGGCACCGACTCCACCACCAGCGGCGGGGACGCCGCCGGGGAAAACATTCGCCCCATCGATAGCGACACGGTGAGAGAAGCAGAAATGCCACACCAGCGGGCCGCCTGGCGTGGGTGACCCCTTCCCTTTCTGCTGATCCTCTCTCCTCTCTCTGTCCCCTTCAGGTAGAGTTGCTTACCAAGTTTTTGCATGCGGACTGGCGCCGGCTGGCTCAGCGGCTCATCGACCTGCACACAGGCACGCTGCAGAGCGTGCTGCAGCGTGACTGGGAAGCGCACTGCGCCGAGCGGTGGGCGTCCATGACGGCGGACGAGCGCAAGCGACTGGGCGTCGAGAAGAACCCTCAGGAGATCTGGCTTAAGAGCCGCCGTGGCATCAGTCGCGCAGGTGAGCAGAGACAAGCAAAGGACGAGGCACAACTCATCGCTCGAACAAACAAAACCGTTGTGTGGTGGTCTCTCTCTCACTCTCTCTGTGTGTGTGTCAGTTCGCATTGGTTGGATTCCGGTGACGAGCATTTTCTACGCGTTGCCGCATAGAGTGGTTGAGGAGGCGGCGCAGCGCCACTGTCCCATCCCCATGGAGGAGCTCGTGCTAGCATACCTGCCCAAAGGACAGTACTCATCGCTCGCACTCGTCTGCCGGTGAGGCTGTGAGACGACCAGCAAGGGATGGAGGGAGGATGGGACACAGAGGAATGCCGAGGGGGGCAGATTCTGTCTGTCTGTCTGTGTCTGTGTGTGTTGTGTATGTATGGCCAGTGCGTTTGACTCCGCCGTGCGGCAGCCCAACCTGTTTGCCGATCCTCTGTTTTTGCTCTCCCCGACACACTCACTCAGCGAGAACACCACCATCCTGGAGAAGATGGCCCGGCTGCCCGACGACGGAGTTGGATTCCTGGTGAGTGAGAGGCTATACACACATGTCAGTCAGCCAACGACTTGCCTGCACATTCATCCCTCTGTTTGTTGTGTATGGTGTGTGTCCTACTAGGCGTTTGGTGAGGTGTGCGCGCGTTTCCAGCTGCCCCGGTTCGGCCGCTCGCTGACCCCGGTAGGCCCTGGAACCAGAGAAAGACCACACTGATGGCTGACCTGCATTGCGTACTCATCCCTCTGATGTGTGTCTGGTACCACCTAGGCCTTCTACACGCTGTGGAGCAACCTGCCGGCCACCCACATCATCAAGAAGGACGCGCGACTCAAGAAACTCATCTTGATCCACGCCCCCCGCATCACCATCAAGATCAAGACACCCCAGCAGCAGAACCAGAACCAGCCCCCACCCGCCATCCCCGCACCGCCCAACGCAGCGGCACCAGCAGCTGCTGCAGCTGCTGCTGGTGGTGCTGTCCCGGCCCTGCCGCCGCCACCCGTCCCGGGGGTGGCGCAGGACGACGACGATGACGAGGGTGTGGGGCCGGGGGGGTGCCTCCGTAGGAGCACCAGCGCCGACAGGATGCCCAGGGCGGGCAGACGGGGCGGCAGCACGGCGGCGGGCACACAGGAGACGGGCGGCGCATTGTCGCGCCTGTCGGGCATGCTCCGCCGCTACATCGGGCGATACCGCACCACTGACGACCTCTGAGTGAGACAGAGGGAGACAGCGCAGTGAGTGAGTTGGAGGATAGAAGCAAGTAGGGGCAGGAACCGCTGGCCGGCGGGCTGGTTGGCTGGCTGGCTGGCTGGGGGCAGTGAGTGAGGCGCAGTGAGTGAGCGGTTCCCTAAGCTCTTGATTGATCGTGGTTAATCTGTGCTGTGTGCATGGGGCAGGGGAGGGTGAAGTGTGGTGTGGTGTGTGGTGGTGTGGTGGGCTGGATGGGGGCGGCTGGCACCTGCATGTGATGTGTTAGGTTCGGGTAGACAGGCTGCTGTGAGTGGTAGATGGTTTGAATCGCTGCTGGTCTGTCTGTCTGTCTGTCTGTCTCAAATGCGTACGTAACAGTTGGGCCTGGCTGCCTGGCTGGCTGGCTGGCTGGTTGGCTGGCTGGCTGCGTGTGTAAGAGAGTTGCGGGGCGGAAGGTGAAGTGGCTGCGTAAGGAACATTCGTGAAGTGGCTGGAATTGATGATCTGATCGATGAATGCGATTCTGGCTGCCGTGGGTGTTGGTGCTGGCTGGTTCGAGGTTTGCCGAGGACGTCTCAGACGGCGTCCGCGGCGACCAACGAGGCAGCCAAGCCCAGCAGCCACGTGTGCCAGTTACATAACTGACTGCTCGTGTGTGTCTGTGCCAGTTTAATGGCCGTGTCGCATACTTGCGTACAGACCGTTGACATCGACATACATTGACGCATGCATACATTGACGCTGAATCGTGTCAAAACCGTCAAGCTTATCACGCGCACACACATAGAAACGGACACGTGGATGCAAGGATAGCTACTGTTTATTTACAATGAAGGTACGACTCCGCTTGGCCGGCTGCGATAGTGACTCAGCCCGCATGTGTTGCCTTCCTCCGCCGTGCTCAGCTGCAACAGGAAAGGCAAGGCATGGACATCAATCCTCCATCTGGTCAGCTCAGCTGAGCTATTGTCGCTGAAAACCGACCCACTCACCGATTGTATCTCTTTCTCTTGGTGCCTCTGTACCCGTGGCTGCCGCTCAGAGATGACTGCACAATACGGCTGGACACATCAGACAGACAGACAGACAGATCTGTGGGTGCCTGTCTAAGCGCATGGTTGGCGTCATCTACCGTGAGAAGAATGTGGTGATTTTGGTCTGTGTGGCGTTGGCTTGCGAGTCATCCTTCGGCAGCGTCCTGCAGTGGAGGGAAGATGAACAGCAAGCTTGCAGACAAGGATGTGCGTGTCATGTGCACCAGTGAATGGGGTCGCTGCGAAGTATGCTGCACAGAACACACACACACACACACACACACACGTTCACACACACATGGCACACCGAGAGCTAGACAGACGGCGCCTTCCTATTGTGTCGCCCTACCCAGTCACAGTGAAGAATTTGGAGATGGCTTGGTGCCAGGTGCGTCGAGCGGGTTTGCCGAAGACCTTGTTGCACGGCAGCGGCTTCCCGCACAGATGATCGTCTATGTCCTTGTTCGTGTAGCCCTCCACGCCGTCATACTCGTCACCCTCACCGCTCTCGAGCACCTCCACCCCCCTCTCCCTCAGCTGCTGCCTCTCCTTGGCCTTGCTCTCGGCGATGGCCTGCCGATCCCAACGCCACTCCTCCTCGATATACTGGTCGTCGTCCCACATGGCGATGTCGAAGCGGGCGTCGCCACCGTCCGTGTCCATCTGCCACAGCTGCCGGTTCCACACATAGCGACGGCTGAACGGCGCCACCTGCACACACATCCATCCATCCATGCACAATTCATTTGGTCCGTCCTCCAACGCTCGGTTTGTCCATCCATGTAGACACGAACGTACCGATGGACGGTCTACGGGGACGATCTGGTCGTCTGTCGTGCGATCCATCACCCCAAGCACGCTGATCTCGGAGTGCTTGCTCTGGTCATGCCGGGCGTCGTTGTCGTACTCGGACTCGAAGTCGCCCTTCATCCACTCCTCGTCCAGCAGGCTCCCACCGCCGTACAGAATCAACTCACTGGAACAAAGGTACACACGGATGGATGGATGGATGGATGGAAGATGGATGGATGGAAGGGATGTCTCCCTACATGCCCGCGTTGCATACAGCACTCACTCACCTGCCTGTCCACACGGCAGCTGCACATGCTGCTGGCGGTGGCTCGTAGGGTTTGTAGCGCTCGTGGGGGGATGACTGTCGGGGAATCATGTTGGGGTGAGGGGCTGCGGCGCATGTCTTCTGAGGCTGTGTGGCGAATGACGGCCTGCTGAACCGGCCAGTCTTGGTGTCGAAGATAACCGTCTTGACGCCACCCAACACTCCGATCTCGCCATAAACGGCGTAGGGCACATTGATGACGATCTTGTCACCTGCACATGACCAAACAAGGGGGTGGTGAAATATATATGCCCAGCTCGGTCGTTTGGCTGTCACTGACCTGCCAGCACAGCTGTGTGGCGGGCGAAGTCGCATCGGTGCTCGCCGTACGACGCGCCCACACCACGCGCCAAGTAGGGCCCGACAGCCGCTGACCAGAAGAAAGGCATGCGTGTTGCATCTGCATGTGAGCCGATGGAGGTCACTGACCATCGACTGTCGGGTTGGTGCCGGGGTTGGTGCCGCGGGCAATCCATGGGAGGTGATCGAACTCAATCCACCTGTCACACGGCACAGCCAAAAGGGAGCGTCGCAACAAGCAGACGCAACGAGGCCAGGGGAGGGGAGGGGGGGTGAGGTGACGCGGAATGGCTCGCGAACGTTTTGGTCTTTCCGTCGAAGATGTCGAGGGCTGGAGGCTGCGCGAAACCCACAGGTCCGAACAGGTCGTCACTCTCGAAAGAGTCACAGTCCGCGAAGTTGTCGTCCAAGTCCCACTCTGCAGACACACACACGCAGACACACATGAGCAAGGATCATTGTACATACGACTTATCTGGTGGCTAGCATACCCTCTCCGCCTATAATGAAGACATAGCGGTCCTTGACGAGGGTGGCCGTGTGGTTCAGACGGGCTGTCGGACGGAGGCCGCTCACATTGCCATCACTGCATACAAACACATGCAGGCAGGCACACAACATCGTTGACAATGTCTGGCAAGGTCCTCACCTGTCGTCGAATGACCAGGTCGCCACGTCGACAACGGTCGAAGAACTCAATGCGTCTCTGCCAGGAAGAACGAGCAACAGGGGAATAGAATTCGAGCGCGTTGCGTGTGTGCTTGTGTGGGGAGCCGGCTGCCTCACTCAGCTGTGTAGTCTTTGCCGCCGAAGATGAAGATGAAGCCCTGTGGGTGTGCAGACGACCGGATGGGCACAAACGTACACGTGAAGTACCGACTGCAGCAAACGATCCACATGCGAAGGGAAAGACACTTGTGGCATGGCACACGTGGCCATGGACTTCTTCTCATTTCGCCCGCAAGCCTACCAATCGACAGGCGGGGTCTTGTCATCTCGTCGCTTTTTCCTGACCTCCCCCTCCCCTCCTTTGAGCTCTCGCTTGCTCAACCACCGATACTCCCAACCGTCCTTGCGATTCATCTCCAGCACACCCCAGAAGTCCTCTTTGTTGCGTGTGTCGCGAGGGCCGGTCGGGCCGCCCACTGCGAAGTAGAATCGCGGCGACGGGGGGCGGGCGGTGTGCGTGGGCAGGGGCGATTTGAGGTTGATGCATGTGAGTGTGAGGGCGTCGGATGATGCGGGCGGGGTGCCGTCGACCACACACTGCTCCCACTCGTACTTGCCAGTGCAGAGCAGGGACCGCAACGACACACTGTCAGTCAACGGAAAGCACACAGCACCCCATACAAAGGTAGTGAGAGCTTGTGGTTGTGTGTTTTGCGTTCTGCCTACCGCCACAGGTCGGTTTTGTAGCTTTTGTGCTCATCTCTGCCGCCAACCACACCACCTGACATTTGACCAAAAGGACAAACAAACAAGCAAACGATCCATAACAGTATAAGCCGGCCAGCCAGCCAGCCAGCCAGCCAGGCTACCGAAGACGTAGAGGTGACTGCGCAGGATGAAGATGCTCGGGCGGCTCCGCCTCATGTCATCCATCGGGTTGACGCAGCTGGCCTTGCCCCACCGCAGCTCACCCAAAGTTGGGTTGGTAGCGAAGTCCTTGAGCACTGCGCCTCGACGAACGGCCCCGCGGTAGGCGCTCTCGGGCAGAGGGGCGTACTTGGGCGCGTTTGTGGCCATCGGTGAGGGGTGGGTCCGGGGTCGGTGGGCCGCCCCCTCAATGAGTCGAATGTTGGTCTTCTTGGCGAACGAGCGCCGATACTGCACTCACACACAAAAGCATAGACGCATCAATGAAGGAGGGATGCGTGTGTGGCCGAACGAGGCGCCCGTGCTCGTGTGTGCAGCCACAGGTACCTGCAGCTGCCAGATGCCTGATGAGTTGTTCGGGTGCAGCAGGGCCGTGATCTCCTTGCAAACTGCCCACGCACACACAGGCGACGAAACGAAATGTCAGATCAATTCATGGGCCTTCAGCAACGTGAGGCTCCCGGCCTCCTTCTCCATCGCGCAACGCCCTTCCTGGCTGCCTGTGTTCCAGCAGCTTGTGTTGCTCACCTGATTCGAGCTTTAGAAGTTCGGGCACGTCGAGGTAAGGGAATAAGTACCACACTACGTCAAATAGCTGCTGCTGCGGCGTGGCGGCCATCCTCACACACCTAATGCGTACAATACACTTCTCTTTCCACTGTTTCTCAGCTCGCAATTTTTGGTCGACACCGGCAAACACCACAAGGCAGTCAGCCATCGCACGATGCTCCCATTCCAGCCCCTGATATGATGCCGCCATCCATTCTGATCCTCATCCATGGGATTCTCTGCAATGGGATGGCGGCGGCATCCTCGGTGCTCTCAGCTCAGGAGGACTCATCGCTCGATGCCACCAGGAGATCCCATCGGCACAGCAGCCCTCAAGCACGACTTGCAAGGCGCCGCCGATGGCTCGGGCTGAACAATGAGTCGAGTTCGTTTGAGGAGGGTGGCAGCAGCAGCAGCAGCAGCAGTGCAGCAACGGCCTCATATGATCCCATCGCTGATGATCCCCAGCAACACCACCACCATCATCACGGTGCATTTTATCCTATCAACACACGTCTTGCTTTGGGCAGTGTTGCAAGGTCCAAGGCACTGCACCACCTGGACCGTCAAGGGAGGGCGGGGGGGCTTGTGGATGAGGCGGCGGTGCGTGCGGTGATGGCCGATCAGAGGGGCACACACTTGTTACACAACCATGGTGCGGGTGGTTCGGCGGCACGGCCCCTGCCGGCCGTCGACACGCAGAGCGAGGCGCTGTCGGCCATGGGGCTGACGGACAATGGGGCGGTAGCTGACACACCGCCACCTAGCTTCGTGGACGAAACAGCCACATCGACCAGCACACCGAGGATTGTACCTGACGCCGGTGGGTGATCCCAATCTGACTTCTGCAACCGACTTGCAAAGCCTGGTTTCTGTGTGCCTGTGTGTCAGCCCGTGACTTCCAGCCACTGGACACATCCTTGGGCTACCTGCTGAGTGCGCCACTGATTCCACAACAAAGGTAGACTGAGCCGATAGATAATACGCCACACACTCTGTCTGTCAGTGTCTGATGCCATCGTCTGTCCGTCTACACCCGCAGGCCAGCGAGTGCGATGAACACGTCTCGCGTCGAGTGGCGGCCATGCCCCGAGACCAACAACATACCAACCACACTTATCGTCAGGGCACAATCGGTCAGCTGAGACGACAGTACACAACGGACACACACGGAGAAATTAGGTTGCTCGGATCGGTTCAGGAGTGCAGCGGCAGCGGCCCGCACAGAGGAGGGCTGTGGACCGATATCGATAACATTCCGTGAGCGGCACACATGCACACAAATGGATGGAGGGATGGACGGATTGACGGATGGATGGATGGATGGATTGACGGATGGATGCTTTGCAGTGTCTTTGAATTTTCCGGCGAGACTTTGGTGTTTGACTTCCGCGACAACCAGGCCACGCTGCCACTCTTCTATGGAGGTGCGCAAGTGGGCGGGCGAGTCTCCCCCTCCCCCCATCCCTCCCTCCCTCCCTCCCCTCATGTGTGTGTGTGTGCAGATGTGTGGGTGCACGTGGTCAACGACACCTCGACGGTGGTCGGTTCGCTCAACACCAACCTGAGCCCCATGTCTCTCGTCAAGCCCTCGGTGACCACGGCCAGGTTCGCCGACTGCACCGGCAAGGCCCTCTACAAACTCACCGAGGAGGCCGACGTCAGCACCGTTGCACAAGACACCACCTTTCTGACATACACTCTCGCTGACGATAAGGTGAGCAGGTGACCCACAGGCCGGCGGGGGCGGCTGTTTCTCTGTGTGCAGATGTGTGGGTGTGTGTGTTTGTGCGTGTGTGTAGGGTGTGTTGGGTCAGGTGAAGAGCAAGCTGGGCGACACGAAGCTCTATGTGATAGACCACGACGGCAACAGGGTCGCCACCATCACCAGGCAAGTCACTCCTGTACACCACACCCACGGCCACCTCATCTCACACAGGTGATCGATGATGCAGGAGTGGTAGTTGGGCTGCGAAGGACAGGACGTTCTGCGGCCAACATGCATTCTGGAGCGTTCAATACTCTAATGCACCTGTAGGTGTGCACGTGACGTGACATCTTCCGGCCACAAAGGAGAGAGACATAGCACACGACTTGTGTGTGTGTCCATTCCATCTCATGTGTGTCAGGATGGGCCTTTCCTGGCCCAAGCAGAGCAGCGGTGGGTGGTGGCTTCGCTCATAACAGTCAAGTCGATATGGGACGAGAGCCGTGACCCCTCCACAGGCGTCGTCCACTCATTCGCATGGCCAAACTTCTTGGTCGGTGGTTCGTGTGGGTATACGTGCTGATGGTGTGTGATGCTGTCTGTGTGCGGTGTCCTCCATGCAGATGTACCTGGTTGTGGTGGTGGTAGTGCCCCTGGGCACCATCCTGGCTGTCGTGCTCTTCCTATACTGCTGCCAAAACAACGTCCTCAGGCTCATACAAAACATCGAAAAGGCGGTACACACGCCCGCACAGGCGCATCAAGGCGGTCTGTGTCTGTCTGTGTCTGTCTGTGTGGGTCTGTGTGTGCAGGTGATGCCCGAGCGGCGCTTCAAGTCGCTGCGGTATCAGGACCCCATCACATGACGACTGACTGAAGGACAGACCGACAGCTAGCTGTAGCTGAAGGAGTAGGTGTGGACGGTTGGTTGGAGGATGGGTGTACGTGTGAGTGACGTTCCCGTGTGTGTGCGTGAGAGTGTGAATATTTCTCGTCCTCCCCTGACTGACTTCATTGCAATGACTCATTCATTTCTACGTCAATGAAACGCACATTGCACGGTTCGTTGTGTTCACACACACACACACACAGAGACGGAGAGAGGGAGAGGGGGAGAGAGTACTCGAAGCAGTTAGTAGTGCGTGGCCCCACACACATCCACACCTTCAGCACATGCAGCATAAAAACAGACAGCCTCAGCCTTCATGTCACTGACCTCAAAACACACATACACACACAGATACAGAGAGAGAGAGCGCCACCACCCCAATCCACCGACCAATCTCAGTCACCACCCCTCAAATTAGTCAGTCAATCACTCTTGGGCACCTCCTCATAGCTGCTGTCACCATCGCCCCCCTGCCCGCCCATCCCCATCCCCAGCCCCTCAGGAAACGCACTCGGCGACAGCCCCATTGCCGACGGGTGCATCGTCGGCCCCATCGGCGGCACCATTGGCCGTCTGCTCGGAAGGTGGTCGTTGCCGTGCGTGCTGGTGTGGCCTGGTGCGGCGGTGCCGGTGGGCAGGGAACCGGAGGCTGCTGCTGCTGCTGCCGCTGCGTCATTTGGGAACGGCAGTATGTTTCCGAAGTAGAAGTGCTGGATGACGGGCACCTTGCTCCACACCTCGGCCTGGTACATCTTCATCAAACCGCTGTTGACCTTCTTCCTAAGCACACACACACACACAGGGAGGGAGGGACACACGGGGACACACGGTCGGTCGGCGAGTGCATCCGTCTGTCTGTCTGGCTGGCTGTCTGGCTGCCTACCATGTGGGGACGGCCGTGATGTCGTTGAGGAGCGGGGCGCACTCACCGAAGGGCACGCCCTTCTTCATCTGACCGAAATCCATAAACACCCCTCTCTGCTTGCTCGTCTCGTCCGCTGCCCTGCTCCCTATCTGTCTGTCTGTGTATACCTACCTCCTGTATGGCCTTGATGGCATTGATGTAGAGATACTGATCCGCATAGTCTGCCACAATCGTCCGATCCAACGCCTGGACACACACACACACACACACACACACACATGCCTCTCTGCGTACCCGCACAGGCTGGCGTACAGGGTGGGTGAGTCACTCACCTGTGAAGGCTCGATTTCCTCCTGTATCATGAGCTGCGCTGATCCCCAGAGGAATGGCAGGAAGTGGTAGTCATCGAGCCCCCACACGCCGCGCGACCCCGCCGGCTCCAGCATGTACGCCGTCTGCAGCGCACGCATCAACTCGATATACCTACACACACACACACCAACAAGGCGCACACACACGGACGTACGCCCACACACCCGTAAGGTCTCATCATGTCTGCGCTCACTGACTCAGTGAAAGCGACGAGTACGATGTTTCGCTTGTCGTTCTGTGTGAAGTACTGGATGTGCCAGAGGCAGTAGAGGAAGGCCAGAAAGGCGGCCTCGTGCCCCGTGCCGTAGTCGATGCGAGTGCGGTTGCCGAACGAGTCCAGCAGGTAGGGCGTCAGCTCAACTATCGCACCGTGACTCTCGGCCGGCAACATCTCCTTCAGAAGATCCTCCACACGCTGATTATTTGACACATTGACACATTGACAAACAAACAGACAAACAGACAGACAGATGGACATTGTCACACACACTGGCAGACAGACGGACGTACCTCGATGAGTCGGTCGTGCCACTGCTGGAAGGCCTTGTTGCCGAAGCGCATCGGCTGCTGGATGGGCGGGAACTCGTCGATCCATCCCCTGAGGGTCTGCAGCATGTGCTTGACCTTGGCCACCCTCTCCGAGAACTGCATGCCTTTGACGATTGGGTAGCCGCGCACCGCAGTGCCCATCTCGGTCACGAAGCCCATCAGCCGCTGGTACGTCTCCGACTGCAGAAACGCATTCAGGTCGCTCTCATTGCTGATGCGCTTCCGAGGCGTCACGAACTCGGTGGGCGCGGCGGCTGCGGGAGCGGCCGACATCGAGGCGGATGGATGGGCAGGTTGATGGATGCAGGGGGCTACGACGTTCGGCCGTCAAGATCCTCCATCCTACCTCCTCAGGGCTAGGCCTCTTGCCCTTCCGGGAGAGCGGTTTCACGAACCCCTGTGCGAGCTTGTATGTGAGCTCGCGGCGAGGAGAAGGAGAAGGAAAAGAAGTTGGATTACCAGGGCTATACCAGTAGCTGATTGGATCTCACATCAGCCTGATCGGATATCAGCTATCGTGCTGATCTGGGCCACCATGCAGCGGCTCGCGAGAGCAGCTCGTGGCATGCTCATTGCTCTTATCTACATCTCTGCTGCAGCTGCCTCCGCTGCCCTCGAAGACTCATCTGCCGGCTTCATCCGCTACTCGCAACTCAACGGGTTAGTGAGCCTCACCGAACTGCCCACGCACCGACACACAAACACGGCTGATCTGTCATCTGTCGCTGCGTTGCGTCGCTTCAGGTCGCCTTACACGGTCACCTACAACAGTTCATCTCTGCTCATCGACGGGCGGCCATCTCTCATCCTCTCTGCCGGCATCCACTACCCCAGGGCCTCGGCGGGGGAGTGGGACAGGATCTTCAGATACATCAAGGCGGCGGGATTCAACGCCATCCAGTCCTATGTGTTCTGGAACATCCATGAGCCCATCGAGGGCCAGTTTGACTTCACCGGCCGCCGCAACCTCACTCTCTTCTTGCATAAGGCTGCCGAGCACGACCTGTTTGTGGTGCTGCGCCCGGGGCCCTACGTGTGCGCCGAGTGGACGTATGGCGGCATCCCCGTGTGGCTGCGGGCCGTGGAGGGGATGGCTTTCCGGCAGTACAATGAGCTGTGGATGGGCTACATGACCAAGTACATGAGGTGGATCATGCAGCTGGTGGAGCCGTCGCTGCCGAGGAACGGCGGCAATATCATTGTGGCCCAGGTGGAGAATGAGTACGGGTATCAGAGCGAGAAGATGCCGGACGGCCACAAGTATGTCGAGTACTGCGCCGACCTGGCCAACTCGCTGGAGACGGACGTCCCCTGGATCATGTGCAAGCAGGACGATGCACCGCCCTCGGTCATCCATACGTGCAACGGAAACGACTGCTGGAAATGGATACCGCACCAGTGTGGCGGTGAGTGAGTAATGCACACATGCACACGGGGGGACTACATGGGCGCGGCGCGCATAGATGAGATGGGTCTCTCTCTCCTTTCCCTGCTGCTTGGTTCTGCTTGGCTTGCTTCTTCAGCTGACGGTCAGCCGTGTATGTGGACAGAGCACTGGGTGCAGTGGTTTCGCAAGTGGGGTGAGGTTCAAAGGTACATCACACCTGACGTCGTCACCTATCGGGACCTCAGGTGCGCAGGAAGGAACTGGGGCCGGAGGGGCCGGCTGCATTCAGCAATGTGCGTGTTGTCCATTGGTTGGGTCAGGTGGTTTGCGTCAGGCGGGGTCCATCGCAACTACTACCAGGTGCTCGGTTGATGATACCCTCCCTCACCACAGACGCAAACAGACAAACGCCATACCGTCTCTCGTCTTCCTGCTCTGCAGTCCTTCGGCGGGAGCAACTTTGGCCGAACGGCAGCTCAGTCGATCACGACGAGCTACGACTACGGCGCAGCTCTTGACGAGTACGGCTTCCCGCGCGAGCCCCTCTACAGCCATGTCAAGACCATGCAGCTGGTGCTGGCCACCTACAGCCACGTCCTCACCACTCAGGCGCCGCCAGTCCCCACGCGCCTCGACCAGAATGACACGAGCGTCGTGGCATTTGACTGGGGGCCTGTTGCTTTTCTTGTCAACGAAAATGGCCCCACTATCTCCAGAACAGTCCCATGGAAAGGTGTGCGGGAGACCTGGGTGGTTTGCCGACACGTGCCCCTCTGCACAGTTGTGTTGTTCCCTGATAATATCAGGTCACTCCGTTTCTCTCCGTGGGCAGTCTGTTGTCATTGTGGACGAGGAGGGAGACATCCTGTTCGACTCGGCCGAGCTTCCCAGCCCTCACACACTCGCGTCAGTGCCCCTAGCCGGCGCCAAGCGGTCCTTCACGTCCTCATCGATCGCCTTCCGCCGCGACCCAACACTCGCCTACACGGAGGACTTCTCCGAGTGTGTGCTGCCGCTGCTGCCGTCCTACTTCTCCAGCCAACCTACCGAGCAGCTCACTCTCACGAACGACACCACCGACTACCTCTGGTACATCCACCGTGTCAGCGAAGGTGCGATGGCCTCCGGCGGCACTCAGCTGGCCATCCCGGCCCACCGTCATTGGCTCATGGTTTTCGTCGATGGCGTCCTGGTGGCCGCACGGAAGAGTGGAGGCAATGGGGGCTCGGTCATCGAACTGCAGAGGCCACCTCAGAAGACGATCGCGCTGTTGAGTTCCACCCTGGGACTGGTCAACTTCGGTGCCTATCAGGAGAGGTGGCACGCCGGCATCTATGGGGGAGCGGTGAAGCTCGACGGCCGGCCGCTGGAGGGCTGGGAGCACTGCCCCGGGGTGGGAGGGGAGACTTTGCAGCTGTGGGACGACCCTTTGCAGCACAGCGACGGCTGGAGAGACACCAAGTCAGCGGGTGTGGATGTGTCTGCGTGGCGTGATGTGCCCATTGTGTGGTACAAGGCTGAGATCGACATTGACGAGGCCATCGACATGGACGGCACCAAGTACTACCTCACCTTATTCGACGAGGACGGGCATGGGGGGCTGCTCAAGGGCAGCGCATTCGTCAACGGCCATGCTCTTGGTGAGAGGCAAGATAACAAGGCAAGACCCACGATGATCCGCCAAATGTGTTGTGACGTCTGCCTGGTTTCAGGCCGTTATTGGAACATCACGAGTCAGGGCAGCGACTGGCCGGTGGGGTCGTCTTCAGTGAAGGCTGACATTGTGCAGGAGGCCCGCCGCCGCCGGTCGCTCAGCAGCGGGCCACGGGAGGGAGGACCTGACCCTTCACGACTGCAGACGTACCATGTGCCCCCGGACTGGTCAGTCACCCAATCAATCACACTCACGTCGCACGAAGCCACCACGCTTGCACTGCACTGCATTGTCTTGTTCTTGCAGGTTAGTTGAGGGCAAGAACACCTTGGTGGTGTTTGAGGAGATCGGTGGCGATCCCAGGAGTGTCACCATAACCCGTAGGCGGGTAACGGGCGATAGGATGGGCTTCATCCGCCATGGCGGACGGGAAGCCGCGATCTATGCTTGATGGTGCCTGAGCAGGCCAGATCTAAGCAGGTGCTGCAGGTGCTGCATCGATTTTCGTGCCTGGGTCGATTTTCGTGTTGCATGAGGGAGGAAGGAGTGGCCGTACGTGTACACTGCGGCCGCCTTTATGGGCCCCAGGAGTGTGCGGACGAGTGTAGGTCATTTTGTATTTGTGTGTGTAGGGCACGATTGGTGTGTCTATGCGGTGCTGACAGTGTTTGTGTCACTGCATAGCAGTTTAGTGGACAGAGAGTGTGTATTGGGTGGACTGCGAGCTCGAAAGAGTCTCAGTGTCAGTGGGGGCCTCTTTCCCGTCTTCAAGCGTTCGTTCTCGAGCCAACGTCGGGTGTTCCCTTGCTCCTGTGCGTCACGCCATGTACGAAGTCCAGGCCCGGAAAGACCATGGTGAGACCTACGGCACTTCTGCAATGCACTGCAGTGCATGCGCATCCACCGAAACCTCCTGGCGCCCCTGGATGACGGCTTTCTCTCTTGTGTGCGTGTCAGGGAGAGGCCATGAGATCGCGTTGTTTTTCCGCTTGATGAAAAGGGGCCACAGAGACGCATTCTGGTAGGTCAACACTCGGCTCAGAAGACAACGCACAGAGTTGTCATTTCGTTTCTCCGCAGGTCTTGCGTCTTCTGCTCGATGGTTGGTCTGGTCGGGTGCTGTCTGTTCCTCATTATGTGCACCGTGGCCATCGACAAGCTCTCCACCATCGGCAACCCTTTCAAGGTCGGCCAGGCCCCCCGCAGCAGGGCCGAGGACGCCGCGAGGTTCGCCAACATCAGCCGGCAGCTTGCCGAGAGGAACAAGCGGATGGGGATTGAGGATGAGGAGCACGAAGCCGACGATACAGACATGGACATGGCCAACCATCATAGAGACAAGGTAAGCGGTGGACGGACGGTGGGTGGGTAGGCGCGCTCGCTGGACGTGTGTGGGCATGCAGTTTGTGTGTGTCTTGTGGGTGTTTTGCAAGGGTCACTGGCACGACGAGAAGCACCACCCCGTTGTATCAAAGAAGGCCGAGGGCAAGGGCAACCTCCGCACCTCCAAAGAAGCCGACAAGACCAGAAGCACTGGCAGTAAGAATGCCGCCATCCCCCCCACCCACAGCCACTCGTCTTACGGCACTATCCACCTGGAGCACGTGCAGCAGCCCCCTGTGAAGAGGGACACACGCTGACTGAGCCAGCCGAGCCCCCAAAGCAGCCAGGGCGGACGGGGAGCACGGGGAGCAGCCGTGCATGAGCAGACAGTCAGTCGTGTTGTATGCTTCGAGTTCATGACGATATGACTTGACTGATTGACTCAAAAGTGCAAAGCAGCTTTCTGCAATGGCTGTGCTTCCGCCCCATTCAATCAACCACACACACATATATGGTGGGTCCTCAGCTGCCATAATGATTCCCTGTGTCTCCAGCATACAAGAACCGACACAACTGGGCCACAACCGAGTCTCCTTGTCTCCCTGTCACGGAACAATCAAAGGCAGACCAGGACAGCGAGAACAAGGCAGATGAAGGCAGAAAAGCCGTTGATGTCTCATCTTCAAGCGTGACACAAAGGGGCCTTTCCGCGGTTCGAACGCGGGACCTCTCGCACCCAAAGCGAGAATCATACCTCTAGACTAAAAGGCCGGCATGCCTGTTTGTGGTCCATTCCAAGCAACACGTCGATACACCCTTGTCGCTCCACTCTCGCTTAGCTTGGATGGAGGCAGCCAGCGGCAGCACGTCCCAGCAAGTAGACACATTGCTGGCTGCACTCACCGCCCGCATCAACCGGCTCACTCCTCCTGCACTTCTGCATGGGGGCGTCCCCTATCGAAGGAGGAGTGGACCCGCTCGGGTGTGTGTGCATCTGGACCGGTGTCCGAGGAACCGAAAGGCAGTATCAAAATGTTTGGCCCGCAGTCTCAGTACGCTGTCGAGAAATGGGTTAGAGAAGACATTACGAAACTGTTTCTCCACAGCGACCGATCGGACAAGGGCGTGAAGCATACCATGTGAACCGGCATAGAGTGCTGATCAACATGGGGGTCGCAGCATCCCCTCACGCCTTCACCAGCGAGTTTTTTCCCTAGCCCGACTGACAAGGGAAGATCCGCCGCGCCACGCAGAGCACGTGTGGGCGCAAGCTGATCCGGCCATTCGAGAGCCACTGACAGCCACTCTCAACCACTCATAGGTCCCATCCCTGCCCGGCCCGATCTTACCTCTGAAACACCCAAGCCGCTTCAATGGAGGCAGCCAGCGGCAGCACGTCCCAGCAAGTAGACACATTGCTGGCTGCACTCACCGCCCGCATCAAGGCCGCATTCGCCGCCCTCAGCAGAAGGCGGGAGAGAGCTGCTGCAGAGAGGAGAGCACTAGAGGCTGCTGCAGAGAGGAGAGCACTGGACGGCGTGACGGAACCGAACGACAAGGAGACGCTGCAGCTCTGTGTCGGCGGCCAGGCCTTCAGTGTGCGAAGGTCTGTGTTGCGGGCGGTCAAGGGCTCGGTGCTGGCAGAGATCTTCAGCGGCAGATGGGATGGCCGGCTGCTGCGTCACAATGGGCAGATCTTCCTCGATGTTGACCCAACTGTAGGCGGGAGGACGGGGAGAGTGACTGTCCGTGTGACTGTCTGTCTGTCTGTCTGTCTTTCTGCTTGCTTCATGCAGGTCTTCCGTGCTTTGCTGACGAGGGTGATGGTGTTCGACCAAAACAGCAGCCATGGCCACGGCCACTGCCAGTTCCACATCGCCCCAGATGACCCGATGAGAGACGACCCCGGTCTCCTGTTCTACGCCGACCTGCTGCTGACCTCCGGCCAACTGTCTGACCCCCTAGACACGCCATCTCTTCCTTCACCCTCCCCGTCCCCCCACCACGCAGCAGCCTCCTTTCTGTCCGCCAACCCCTGTTTCCCGCCATCTTTGTCTGACGCGCTGCATCACTTCGAGCGGATCGCCCGCTGCCTGCAGGAGGAAACTGCACGGGTCGACGCGGCCGTGGAGGAGTGGGCGGAGAGGCTTGCACGTGAGGAGCGTCGGTACGCGGCTGTGCGGCCCTTCCTGTCGACAGGTGACGATAGCGTGCTGTCTGTGGAGGTGAGTGTGGACCGTTCGGTGGTGGCGACCTCGTCTGCGACGATGGAGGTGGCGACCATCGGCACGGATGACAGGGGGCTGCCCAGACCGATCATGAACCGCTTCGTCCGGTAGGTCGACAGACCCATGTATCGCGCGTGTGGATGGAATTCCCTTCTGCCAGGTGGCAGACGCCAATCGATTCCATCCCTCCCTGCCACTTCAATAAGATGGTCGACCTCTGTCGTCGAGCGAGACTCACGGCCGCCACGTCAACTGCCACCCCGCCCACCGACCCTTCCTCAGACCGTCCCCTCATCTTCACCCCCCTGCTGGCTCCATCAGAACGCACCGCCTTCTCACAGTGCTGCGACATGTACGGCGTCGACGAGGGCACCGACCCGCACACACGAGTGCCGAATGGGAGCAGCCTCGTGGCGAGCTTCTACGACTGGTGGATCATCAACCGGTGCGTGGGGGCGGTGCAGGGCCGGCCGCTGCGGCTCCTGTTCAGCAGCAGCATACATGGATGGCTGTATGCCACTCTGGCGAGGCGGGTGCGGAACATGAGCCGGCTGCTGTTTCTGGTTCGATCTGGGTGTGAGGTCGTCGGCGTGTACGTGGAGGGACCATTTCGACTCCCCGCAACGTCGCTCGAGGGCTCCCATGAGCTCCACACAAAAGGTGCGCCTTCACGACACAAACGACCAACCATTCAGCCCCTTCCCCTCTCTCCGTCCGGTTTGTCAGTGTCACTATTCAAGCTTCGTGGCAGCAGGCGCAACCCGTACATCGGCCCACTGCACCTCTCCCCCACCCACCACGCCGTCGACCGCCTCATGTGCGCATCACTCACCGACGACGCCGCCATACAGGGATTCGACACGCACAGAGAACGGAACGGCCTCGGCAAGCTGTCGTTCGCGAGCGGCCGGCTGTGGCTGGCGTACGGTGCGTCTTATGGGGAGGCGAGCACGCTGCGGCAGATGAGTGGAGGGATGTTAGAGGGGGAGGGCGATGCCATGGCGGGCCGGGGGTGGCTGGGGGCTCGGGTGAGGGATGAGGGGTCGTTTTACCCCTATGCGGTGGTCGGGGGGAGCAATGTGGCGGCGGTTGATGAGGTGGAGGTGCTCATGGTCGATTGACTAACCCGACTGACTGCCCTCTGCGCATCCCATCCATGTGCATGCCATCCATGCTGTGTACGCTGTGGGATGGATGCTGCCACTGGGTTGCGCTTTATTATCTATCATTGTCTGTCATTATTGTGTGTGTATGTGGTCAATGACTCGTGATTTGGGTCGCTGTCAGTTTCCTGTTGACGCGCCAGTGCTATCTATGTGTAGAGGCTGGACGTGCTTGGGAGTTTTGCCCATGTGTGTCCCTGTGCCCTGGTCTGTCGCCGGCCATCGACGCGTACCGGTCCCTCGGTGCAACGAGGGGCGAGTCCACGTCAATCGCCAACGGCCGACCAAGACACGGACAGACAGATGGGCAAGGGGTTCTGCTTTGCTCCTTGCCGATGAGTGCATTCGTCCGATTCGTTCCCTGTCTGCGTGTCCGCAACGTTTCGGCTGCAAATCTGTGTGCCTCTCCTTTGCATGTCGTCTGCGGATGGCTCCTCGCCCCTCGCTGCAGCGGGGGGGCGGGTAGACGTTCACGGGCGAGGGATCACCAGAGGACGGGCACACAGAGGGCCGTATGGTCGGTGAGGGATGGCTATGTGAATGTGTGTGTGTGTATATTGATTTGTATATCTGTCATTTGTGTATAGGGCCACGATCCGATCCTTTCGGTGGCCTGGCCTGTGTCTGCTAGAATATGTACACTAAGACACACTGGTGTGCTGTACCGATACAGGGAGGGAGGGAGGGAGGGCGGCTGTGGTGTCGACATGACTGCAGGCAGCATGTTGGGCGACAACACTGGTACTCATGCCGCGATGTCTGTGCTGCGTGTATGTGCGTGTGTGTGTGCGTGTGTGTGTGTGTATGAGGACGGGGGACTCGACAGACACAGCGGGGTTTGGTTTGAGTGAGTCAGCCAGGCACACTTTATGCACAGGGCTGCACGGCACGGCACACGAACGTACCTACAGTCACCGAACCAACGAAGCACTGTCCACAGTCAGCTAAGCTTAGTCAGCTAGCTTTCACAGCTATGCGATAGATGTGCCACACACCAGCACCACCAGCATGGACCATCCAGCATCCCTCACGTCACTCACGTGTTAATAGTAGTGCGGCCCCCCCCTGATGCACTGCATGCAGTCACACAGCCGACCCTCCTCGTCATCATCAAAGTCATCGTCCGCACCACCACCACCAGCCATGCCACCCGCACCCACACCATTATACGCTGGGGTGTCTGTGGGCTTCACGAAGCCCTTGAGTCCCTGGCCGTACGACCCACCACGCATTACTGAAAGAGAAGAGAGAGAAAGAGGAGAAAAGAGAATGGGCGGTTGCTGTCTGTCTGTCTGACATGACATCCATTGTACGTACGAGCTGGTCGTGGTCTGTTGAGTCGAGCTAGCAAATCGCGACGTCTACTCGAGGCTGCACACACACAGCCACAAGCCACCAAACAACCAGCCGTGAGTGGAAAACACGACAGCCGTGAGCTGAAAAATGGATACCAGCCCCAACACGTCACGTCACTGTCTCTCACACAACGAACGCAATGCAGGCAGCCGTGTCACCCCAAAAAACCCTCTCGGTCGGATCGAGCCTCTCTCTCCCCGCCACCCACCCCTCCCACACACGGCGAAAAAGAAACCGAACGCGCCAGCCTTATCATGCAAGGCCACTCTCTCTCTCGTGTGTCTGTCTCTCTCGCATGAGGTTACGTACCCGAAGCGACCGCGCCCGCGACTGCAGTGACTCTGACGCCGCCGACCCTGCCGCCGTTCCATACCTTCGCAACGCCCTCGTAGAACCGACGGAACGACGCCGCCACCTGTCCCACAGGTGGACAACGCGAACACACACACACGTGCATAGGCCTCAGAAAAAGATGAACGAACAAGTATGTGTGTGTGTTTCCGGCATATGGACTGTACGTGTTGTCCGTGCTTGGCGGCTTTCTCGTCGTATTTGGCGTTGAACGCCGCAGCCCTGACGCGACGCGCACAGAGAGAGGAAGAGAGACAAGAGTGTGCGTGCGCTGGTTTGGCGTGATGAAATAGGTCCCTCCCTACCTCTGGTTGACGAACTCTCTGAATCGGCCGGTGACGTCCTCGAAATGGACCGACTCGAACCCACTGGCCTCCAGGTGCTCCCTGCAACGCAATCAATACACACATAAACGTCACACGTCGCACACGTCACACATATAAGTGGATTGAGTGAATGTCTGTGTCTGTCTATGGTTGGCTTACTTATACTGTGTGAGTGTGGGCAGGTTCTTGCAGGCGACGTAGTTGGTGAGGATCTCCTCGTCCTCGGCGGTGAACGGCTCCCTCTGGTAATAGTCCTCCTACACACACACACAACACACAGACACACAGACATACACACGTGGGTCTTCTGCCCCCCCCTGTGTGTGTGTGTGCTGACTGCGTATAGGATTGCCCCCGGCTTGAGGAGGCTCCGGATGTTCTTGAAGAGCGCGTGCCGGTCCGCCACGTGCAGGAACACCAAAAACGAATACGCGCCATCGAACAGACCACCGCACTCATCTGCACACACACCCGCCCGCACACACACGTGGATGGCCGTTCAATGAGATCAGCACGTCCTCTTGCTTGCACACGCATACGAAGGGACCTTTGGTGACGGTGCAGAGGTCGCCACAGATGTGTGTGACCCTGTCGGTGAGCCGTGCCCTCTTGGTGAGGTCGTCTGCCAGGTTGTGCAGCTCCTGCTGGATCTCCACGCCCACCACACTGCAGTGGGCGGGCTGCAGAGAATGCACCCAGTAGCGACACACACCTGCACAACACAACACACACACAACACACATACATTGGCAGCAAGCAGTGTGAGTGTGGATGTGGGTGCCCCCCCTTCTGGCTGCCATCGGACTGACCTCCGAGGCCCGATCCAGCGTCGAGTATGCGACACGGCCTGCCGCTACCGGTCTGGGACTTCAGGCCCAGCTTCTCACACGCAGTGCTGCACACACAGACCCACAGAAAAGGAGGAAACAGAGAGAGAGATAGGAACAGACACTCCACACAACCTCCCTCGCCCCCTGGCCCCTCTCCTTGCGACCGACGTACTTGACGGCGTCGTTTCCCCAGTAGTGGTAGTGCGTCAGGGTCTCCTCCTCGCTGGGGTCCAGCCCCCCACCCTCCGGCTTGGTGGCGAGTGCCGCCTCGATGTCGGCCATGATCTGACGCTTCCTGTACCAGTACATGGCGTGCAGGTGGTCCTCGTTGGCCTCCCCCGGCAGACAAGTCACCACATCAGCCACTGACGGGGTGGGGGATGCGATCAGATCCAGGCTGGCCAGCGCACTGGGGATAGAGGGAACGAGGAAGAAAGATGCTTGTGGGGTGTATGTGTATGGGTGTGTGTGGTGTGGGAGGGTTGGTGGCTCACTTGACGCAGTCTGTGACGGTTGTGTCGGTGACGACTGGCTCACATGACCAGTGCACCCCTGCAACCATTGCATTCAGCAGGGCAGAGGCAGAGAGAGAGAGAGACAGACAGACGGTGCGGCACAAACCATTTCTTGGCACGTGTGTGTGGTTAATGTGGCTGTGTATGATCTGCGTTGCGTACCAGCGAGCCACGCTGCGGCGTCCTCCTTGGTGTTTTTGTAGTTGTCGCTGAAGTAGTCCACCCAAGAGGACTTCTGCGTCTCGATCTCCTGGAGGATAGACATCAACACGGACACACGGACACACGGACACACGGACACAGACAAAGGCGCACACATGAGTAGAGTGTGTAGGAGCACGTGAATCTCTCGCCGTGTGTGTGTGTGTGTGTGTGAGCGTCACATGCATCTCACGTGGCAGACGAGCCTGGTGACCTCCAGCAGCTTGCGGATGGCGACGCCGTGAGTGGCGATCACATCCTGTACGGACGCACAGACAACGCACACGACACAAAATCCTTTCCTTTGATGACAGCAGGCGAAAGGTGTCATTCATATACAGTCCCACCGACCTTACCTTGTGTGCGGCGACGAGAAAGCACGGCCACCTGTTCGTTTGCACAAGGCAGACAGACAGACAGACACACACAGCCACTTTCGGTGATGCGGTCAGTGAAACGCATCGATCGCTCTTCGGTGGTCAGCTCACGGCGTGACGCATTCGCCGACGCGCTTCCACTCCCCGCTGTCACACAGCCACTTGGTCTACACACACACACACACATACACACACACACACACACACATCCATCCATCCAAAGGTATGCACAGGCATCACATCGACCC